CAGATTTTACATAGTTTCTGCTATTTGCCTGTTAGTGCTGGCAGTAAGGTTAGACAAGCAGAAAATTCTGATTGAAAAATTAATGACTAAAACTCTTTTTTTTAAAATTTATGTATTATTTTTTAAGGAGTAGCTGGCTGTTTATAGAACTCCTGAAAACTTCTGGGACCCTGCTCTCGCATTTCAGCAAGGTGGTAAGGTCCCACTGGAGTGTGTGTGTGGGGATGTTGGATTAAGACTAGAAGTGGGGACTGGAGCCCTGATAATATCTGAAAGCCTGCACAAGGCAGCCTTGAGGCTTTGCCAGTTGAATGTCATCTTTTTAGGGCTTTGAGAATTCAACTTCACAGAGTAATTTGGAGTTTAGAGTAGTAGATGATTTAAATAGTATTTTATTAACTCTTTCAGTTCTTTCACTTCCAAAAGAGTTTGCGAAGGTGTAAGTCTTCCATAGGAAAAAAAAAATGCATAATGGCTTATATGGTAAATATGCTTAAGTATTGTGTGAGGTGGTTTTTTTCTGGTGAATATTGTATTTTTGATGAATTCTGTATCTCAGAAAATAATTTTGGCTCCGAAAAAAATATATTATTCGGTAAGAAAGGCAGTAAAATAATAGGTGAAAAATTCAGGAGCAGAAGAGGATTATAGCTATTAATTTATCATTCTGTACTTATATATACATATAAGTATCTTACACATATAAATAAAAAAAATAGAAGCAGACCCTATCACTGCATCAAACTAAGACATCTATTTGCAGCCCTGCCATAGGGAGCTGTGTAAACTGGGATTTCTAGCTCAAAATCTTTTCAAGTTTAGACCTTTTCAAGGAGGGGCCTATGTTTTGACCTATATTTCTGATTAGGCTTTGGTTTCTCATCTCTGTGACAGAAGCAGCTCTACTATGATACCGAAGTGTTACTATGATGTGGGTTATATGACTAAAAACTACATCAGTGTAAAATGATTACCTAAAGAATGTGCTTTTATATTTAAGTTCCCTGACTCAACTTTTGATCTTCTAAAATACATGTGTTATTTGTTTACTCTTACTTAATTTATGCATTAAATCACCACTGTGTATTACTAGTAACAAAAAATGCCAAGGCCAGAGTGTCTGCATACTGAGCATCTGCCTGCGAGCTGTGGCTTGGACCTTTATTCAGATACGTGTAGCTCCGAGTGGCAAGAGGTCAAGATGACCTCTGAGTGTGGGTTATAGCCTTCTGATTTACTTTTTCCCAGTACTTGTGGTTCTTGAGGTTGATGGGAAACACAGGACACAGTACCCACTTTGTATTATTTACAAGGCCCACAGTATTTTGTTTTTTTTAGAGCCTTACATTTAGAGCCTTCCTATTTCTTGGACATTTATGTCATGTCATTGAACATCCTTAGGTTCATAATTTTGTCTTGGTGACAATCTGAATAAGAGCAGTGTTGTTTACCTTCCCCATTGTTGTGACTGTAACACTTTATTACTTACATCTCTACTACTTATTTCCATTTCACTTCCAAAGACTGCCCTTACTTTTCCATGCTTGCTGTGTCATTGGCAGGCGATGCTTCAGTCTTGCATCTTTCCGTAACAAGTCTCTGTTCCCACATGTTGTAAATAGCATCATTTTCATACGTTTTTTCCCTTGCTGCAAAAGTAGTTCTGCTGCACTGCCAGTCTACAGATCTCTTTCTCATTCTTTTCTCAAAAAGAACTGAAAGTTGTATATGTAGCTATTTTTTTTTTTTTTGTGGGGGGGGGTGGGGGTGCTGGGGACTTCTTTGGTATAAGGTCTATTTTTTGTTGTTGGTTCGTTCCAAATTTTACAGCACAGCATGAGGGGAAGTGTCTGTGTGCTACCATAACACAAATAAATATCTATTGCCTTTCTACAGAGACAAATGCTCACAACATCTTTGCTGTGTTTCTATGCTGGACTAACAGGAATAGCTGCTAAGAGTTGTAATCGCCCTTCAAGAATACACAGCCATTGAGGGATACTACTAACACGTAATTAAACTTTTCAAAAAGCACTCCAAGGGCTTGTTCCAAAAGTATATATTTTTAAACAATCTTGTCTTTCTCCCCTTTCATAAAAAATGAAAACCTAACAATCCTATTTACTTCTTTTATTGTATATTTTGCCTGCTGGTTTTTGCTTGTCTCTTAGTTTTGCTTTCAAATACGCCTTCCATAGCACAGTGATGCAATGTTTGGGTTACAAACAGTGCAGGCAGAATGTTTATTTAAACTTCAGAGGAAAGAATCACTCTTGGGAGTCCTTCTATCTTTCCACTTGATGCTTGTTTTTTTTAACTGGCCGTGCAGTAGGCAGCCTGTTCTGCTGGAATGGAAGTAGATCATGATTCAGGAGCAGTGGTAGACTGAGATATCCCAAAGTGAGAACAGAGTTTTAACGACACTGAAAACAACAAAGCTAGAGCCAAAAATAAAAATAACAGGAATCTTCTGATTTGATAATTCCTCAAAAAGGATCAAAAAGAGCAAGACAAATGTGTGTGTCTTTCTGCCCAATTAAACTGACGTTGTGGCTAAAGAAGTCCTGGTGGGAGCGGAAGATTAGCATGGGCAGTGTTCAAAGGGTAGGGTGAGGGCATGTTTGCTATAGTCCTGTGAGCAATGCTCTGCACTCAAGCACGATCTCTTTAAGGTTATTTTAGGAATGGGGTGCACGTTATGACCCAATTCATCTCTCCTTTTATGCTGAACCAAAAAATGAACCGTCACAGCACAGAACCAAAGACATCACCTGGCCTGTGATGCTCTGAAAAAATCCTGAGAAGCTGCACAGGGAACATAAGGGATGACAGCACTGCAGCAGGGCACAGAGAGCTGGGGAGAAAAGAAATGGTGATAACCTCTGCCTATTATCAGAACTTGACATATATCTACCATCATTTCTGCAAAGCACTACCTGAACACGTACTGTTAGCTATTTTGCACTAAAATAAGCGAAAAGAGTATGCAGAGAATTCCCCATATTGCTTTTCCATGTGCAGGGATGTGCGCATGGTCCACCCTTGGTGAAAAGACCTGGATAACAACAGCTGTTAGGATAGGAGTGTGAGTACCAACACCCGAAATGTCCTCCTAGCCCAGGGAGGGCATTACCCAGCTGATAACCTTAAAAGGGTCAACAGCCACCAGCCTCATTAAACTGTAACCAGGGACCTACAGGGAGACTTTTCAAACAAATGAGATCTCAGTTCGAAGGAAGTGCAAAGGGAGCATGAAGACTTGTACAGAAGGGAGAAGCTTTGGTGTGCGAACCGAGCGGCAGTCAAAGGCAGAGCAGACTCGTTTGACACTGTTGGATCCCCTCAGGGATAATCCCCCTGCCAGGCAACCTGCAGCCAGCCAGGACAGTGCCAGTGGGGGCTGCAGCAGCAGGAACCTCACCTGGGCTGCCCGTATGTGGCCTGTGTGATGCTTGCTTTGCAGCTCGTTCATTAGCAGATTATAAGGAGCAGCCCAAGCACACATGAAGCATCCATACGTTCAGTGAGAGGTGCAGCCTGTAGGAAGTATCTGGTAATGACAGTCTGGTTGTGACCACAAAATGTTTGAGTGGCACCCATTTCCCAAGCAGGGAGATGAGTAAAATATTTCTGCTTTGACAGTTGGAAATAATCTGCCTTGTCACACGTGCTTTGCAAACCATGTGGCTTTGACTGTATGTCTACTGAGCTGTTTCAGCCTCTCTTTAATGATGAGAGTAGTCGAGAGATGACTTGATCTCTGCCTGCCTTACTCTTGTCCTGAGGCCTGCCATTCTCACTAACACATCTTGGCCAGTCCGTTTTCTATACGGTCCCTTGCCTTAGAGACTAGAGATGACCATGGCATGGATATGCTTAAAAGAAAATCAGTTTTGAATTAATTTATGAACTGTGGAGGATGTGAGAAGGGCAAGAAAGATTAAGTTCCTGATTTTATTTCCACTTGGTTAATGTAAGTCTTATCACTAACCTAAGGTCAATAACGCAGGACTGGAATGGACTGAATCTGGTCTGATTTGCAACTCAAGTTGAAGATTTATTTGTTTGTTTGTTTGTTTTTGTCTACAATATGCTCACAAAAAGATTACCTCTGAGCCTCACTTTTCAGGTGATTCTTCTAATTTCCTATTTAAATTTATTCATAGGACATTTATATCAGTAGTTGTGTGGTGATATCTTTTAACTTAAATAGTTCTAACTTAGTTTTAATTTACAGCTTAACTAGTTTTTACATTCATTGTGTTCACAAAAAGGAAATAGGAAATTCTTGGTAAATTTTTAGTTCCTATCCAGGTTGGCTTCAGCTCTAGCTGAAGCTAATTTGACTGTGGTTCAAACCGCTAATATTTTGCCAAGAGGTTTAGTAACACCAAAACATCTGAAGCCAGGACTGGTTTAAGCCTAATGATGTCAGAAATGCAACACCTAAAAGTTGAAGAAAGGGCTGAATGAGGGTGTGATGCAGTTGCCACAGGCTCACAGAGCAGGGCAGGAGTCCAGTCTGCACAATCACTTTGTGTTTTCCAGCATATACCTTAAATGATATTCCTATAGCAGAGAAGTTCATTTTTATACACAGATAATTTTAATTTCATTCTTTTTTTTTAACCGAGCACATAAAACATAGGGAAACACAAAGCAGTTTTGAGCAACTTCGTTTGGATTGGAACAGGAAAAGATTTATCTAAGCATAGAATTAACACTTAAAAAAAAAAAAAGAGGTATGATGTAAAAACTCACTGAGCAGAGGAAGGGGCAGTATCAGCTTAAATCGCCAGAAACTTATTTATTTATTCATTTAGCAAAGCTTGCATAATGTGTTTATGCAAAAAAAGAAACAATTGTGTGTTGCAAGAGGATTAGAGGAAGTGACTGCTGGAATCAAAGTATAAATGTTTTGCAAGGTCAGTCCCAGGAGCAGTTACTAAATAGAACAGGAGTGCGTATAACACAGAGTAATCCAAGCAGCTTTTATAAATGTGTTCACTACGTTTCTGAGACACTAGAATGTCGCTTCTGGGTTATGTGGTTCTGCTGTTATTTTGGATATATTGTGCTGCAGAAAGAGGTAAGTTTTTAATATGGAAAAAATCTGCTTTTTTTACTGGGAAATGTTATTAAAATATTTTTAAATGAAATGTTCAGATTATTAGAAGCTCTGTCAACAATACTGCTGTAGCAGTATGTAGAGCCTTTAGTACAGTATGCATCATAGGTGTTATTTACCCCATTTATTTGCATAATTTTGCACATTTCTGTAATGATTACTATGCTTAGAACTCATATGGTATTTGTGTTTTGTTTGTTAATTATTTTAACATCTAAAATTCCAAAATACCTATAAAGAGTTTGTAAACTAAAATAACAAGTACTTAATAAATGTGTATTTCTTGTATCTAGAATAACCTGTGAGATAATGTGAGAATAAGAAATGTCCACTATATTGACTGAGAAAGTGTTTACAAAGTGCTTGTTGAATGACAACTTTTTTGGTGCTATTTTAATCCTTTAAATAAGATAAGTGTATATAGATACACTTTCATTTGCGGTTAAAGAGATATCGAGTTCTGGCCGCTCTTGATATTTTCTGTTTCAGTGTTTAAGATCTCTTCCTTAATACGCTTGGTTTATTTTTTTATAATATTGTGTTTATTGTTTAATTTATATGTTCAATAATTCAATAGCTTTGCTTTTTGTCAGACGGTTGGAGAGTGTTGTGTATCTTTGAGCTAGAGTGTTTTCGCTCAGTTTGGATTGTGTTCTAATTTTATGAGAGGATTAGGAAAATCTTATTAATCAATAATGAAAAAAAAACAGATTTCACTCCAGACTCCTGTAGAAGTGGGCTGTTTTTAAAGATACTTATTATTTTAAAATTAGCTGATAGGAAAGAGAATTTTATTTGGAAAATCATGAGGTTAATGAAATGTATTACATTTTGCATATATGCTTATAATATATATTGCTTCAAAACACTAGCCTCTTTTTTTCTTTTTTTTTTTTTCTCTTTTTGAAAAGTCCAGAAAAATGTTAGGATTTGAAAAGAAAGTTTGTTTAACTTTGCCTTCTCTTTTCATAGTACTTGGTTTAAATGAGAGATATGGCAAAGGAATGTCAATGTAATATTATTTGATTCAGTTGGGACAACCATCAGCCATACACAGTCTTAGTGTGAGCTTCATATGCAAAGTCTGTCAGTTGTTTGAGATGAGGTTTGTTGCTCAGGAGGTGAAAAAAGACTTTATAGTTAGAATTTATAGTTTGTGTTTGGATTTGTTGAAGTTGCTACTGGTTTGTTTAATGATGCTGACAAAGCAGCTTGAGCTATTCCTAACTGAGGTCAAATGGCATGTGAAGTATTTGCAGATTAATTCCCTATCCCAGTTCACCACTAAGGTATGGTATTTGAAGGTATGCATTTAGACCATCCTTTCTAATATAAAAATATTACTCCAAATTTTGGTACGTATAGAGCTAATACATGATGTAATGAATATAGTTTCGAAGTCCACTCCTTGGAAAGTTTGTTTCTCAAAGTACTGAAAAAATGCAGGAAAAATGAACATTTGCTCTAGTCAGAACTACATGCATGTACGCTGTGACGCTTCCCAGTAATGATGGCCAAACAGGCGTCGCGTAGGCCGACACCACGTCGGCAGTGGTGGGATCTAAACAGGCTCCAAACACAGTCATTTCCATTTTTAACACATTTGCAAAATGGAACCAATTGGAAAACTGAATATTCTTCATTTTGCTCATTCCTGAATTTTACAAAATGTATTACAATGTTTTGTTTTTCCTGTTTTTTCTTTTTTTTTTTTTAATGAAACTTACAAAAGCAGAAGTCACTGCTGTCGTTTTTGATAGTATAGTGCTACCACCTAGTGGAGAGAGAACACTAATTTTTACTCAGATGTAATAATCAGTAGGATAAATGTAATACTTTTTTTTTTTTTTTTTTTTTTTTTTTTTTTTTTTAGTGTAGTTGGAAAGAAGATGAGCCTATGGGCACACCCTTCCTCATCAGGACAGCAGTGTCCTCAAAAGCTTGCCTGCTTTTTCTCAATACTGAAGCCATCTTAGAGAAAGGTATTAGCTCTCCCTAGAAACATTTCTTTCCTATATTTTCATAGCTACAGAACACTTTTTGTGCAAGCTCTTTACAGAGTAGTGTATTTGTATTTTGGTCTGTTTTTGCTATGCTCAGGTGTTTTGGGAGCTTCTTAATGAACTGAATTCAAGTTCACTCTCTATAAACCATATGACCCTGGGTATACATTTAAAGGAAGAAGATCCAGTAAGGAGCTTTTGGAGAAGGAAATTGTATAATATTGATCTAAAGAGTATAATATCAGACAATTCCTCTGCCAAACTGAGGCAACATGCTTTGAAGTAGAAAAAGTCAATGTGATTACCAAGAGTTAATTGAGCTTGTGACAAGTATCTTATGATAAGAAATTGTCCCATGGACAGGAGGAAATAAGCTTCAGAAAATTGGATGATCTGTCTGGAGAGAAAGTTTAGGGGATATAAAGGCTAAGGGAGGTTTGTCAGACCTTGATCAAGTGCAGTGTGAACTCAATTTCAATCAGAATGTTGTGGCTGTTAAAGAAGATAGTGTGTAAGGAAGTCTCTGAACTGCATAGAGTTCTCCATAGTGATGGAAGGACTGAAATGGAGGTTCTTCTGCCATCAGAAGGGTAAGAGATGTCTGGGTTAGAACTAGACTCTAATCTCTGATGTGATTATTTTCTTTTCAATGGATATTGGACTCTGCCCAGTGTGTTTATTTTTATTTTTGGCATGTGCATGACCATTTTTATAGGCCCCGAAGTGTCTTTCCTACAAAAGGTGACAACTTAGTAGCTTTTATTTTTATTTTTTTTTAACAGTTAAGTGGGAAAGATACACACATGTGATCATAGCAGTCCTCGGGATTTCCTGTTACTTTTTTTCTATTCCTAAAAGTATTTTGGAGTATGCAGCATGTGCTTCAGTCACTAGCATTTTGCTTGTTCAATTTTTAGCCTGTGAAGAACCTCCTCCTAGGAGAGTTAAAGAGCTACCGACGGAAACATGGGACAAACCTCCCTATTCCCACGGCACTCAAGTGACATACAAGTGTCGGCCTGGGTATATAAAGGTTGGACGGATTGTGTTAGAGTGCATTGATGGAGCTTGGGAACAACCCTTCCAGTGGACAGAATGCAGACGTAAGTATTTATGCAAAATATGTGCAAGCATTTGACCTGGCCTATCACATCCCTTGCCAAGGCTGTCAGTGTGAAATTACAGTTATATCTTTACCTGACAATTATTTAGTTCAGGATCCTTTAACCTACCACCCTAAAAGGCATATACACATAAAGAAACATTTTAATGTTTATTTTCTCCGGATCAAGGACTTACCTTTCCCTTTACATGGGAAAGTCATACACTAGGCCAATTTTATTAACCTAATTTATATATCTGCTCTGAGGATAGAAATCTTTTTAAGGATACCCAAGATATTTTTGGTTCTAGGATCATTGCATGTACGTCTGTGAAAATTTATTTCTGGATTAGGTTAGCTGGGAGGTTAATGCCCAATAAGATAAGATACCACTACTGAAAAGCCTATTCAACTGATGATTCAGACTCTTTTGCTTTTAAATTAAGTAAAAATTAATAAGTAGTCATGTTTATCGCCTACAAATTGAAAATTGAAAATAGCATATATTTTTTTGACATTTTAAAAAATAGTTTTGTTATTTCCTGGCCACTTATGGTCAGAACTTTTTTTTTAATTATGTTAACGTCTATTATACTTCTAATTATGAAGTTAGTAGAGGCTTGTTTCTGAGTTGTTAAAAAAACACTGCATGGATGAAATTTACAGTCTAAGCAGAATAAAGCACTATCTCAGATTTTCAGTGTAAGCCAAGAGACAATGTTGTTTTTTTAGTTAGTTCAACCAGTTCTATGCAAAAATCTAAATTCTTGAAAGTTGAAAAACTTGTTGGAGATACAAAGGACAGCATTTTCCTCCTGCTTGTTTTGCAATCTATGAAGGAAAATTCATGATAAGGATGAGAGCTGCTATTGTTATTTCTAGGATATCATGTTTACAGCTTAGAAGTATTTGTCACCATCATACAGAGTTTATGAGTGAAGAAATTGAGCTTTATCATCATTAGTCAAAAGATACCTATATTCTGTAATATTAAGCAATTTTAAGCACAAAGCAAGTTTAGATATACGAGCTTTTATTTTTCTTACATATCTAATGTAAAAAATGAATAATATACAAGTGTGTGGTTAAGTAATGTTCCATGTTTCATTCAAACAAAGATTAAAATAAATCATGATTAAATATCAATTAATAAACTTGTTACTGTTTGCTACATAAGTTTATGCATTATGTTTAAGATTAACTTATTTAACATATTTCACATTATTTAACTTATAATAGCTAATATTAACTTTACCTTATTAATTTAACTTATTTAACTTTTTCAAGTTAAATAAGTAACTCTTGGTTTTACATGTATTTATGTAACTAGTGCACACCAATCCTTCATTCATACAAAATTGGATGCTGCATTTTGGTCGTAAATTTTAGCTAACAAATTTACTGCCATGCAGCAAGCAGGTGCTGACACAGGCAAGACTCAGTTGGCAAGAGAAGGGAAATGCTCTGCTGCGGGTTAAGTGGCTTCATCCCCTTTCCATATGAGGCTGCACCAGGCAGCAAAACTGCTTAGCCTGCATGGGGTTGGCTGTTTCCTGTGAGCCACACGGAAAAAAGTTGAGAGTCTCCCCACTCATCTCTTTCTTTAAAAAACTACAGCTGCTGACTTACTCCAGGATATGCAAATGTTTGGTGTAGATGGGTCCATGAAGGATTTGTTTGGAGGAGGTCTAATACTTATTTTTTTATTTTTTTTTAGCATTAATTTATTCTACAGTCCTTGTAAAAAGGCGCAACAGAGAGCTGATGTAATCATCTGTGCAATTCTTCTGGGGAGCCAGTGCAAATTGTTAGGGCTAGATAAAAAGGGCTGTCACATGGGGAACTTGGAGCTAAAAGGACTGAGGAGCGCAGGACTCCTGTGGCCTTTGATCTTCCTTCTGTACTCGGCACAGTCCCCATCAGACAAAGGCTGTTCCATTGCCAGTCATGGGTGGCTTCTATAGGGGAAGCCTTTGTACCTTGATTATGTGGAAACTTATGTGAAGAGCTGAAGTTACATCCTGCCATTATATTGTCATAAAATTTAAAATGAGATCTGTCTTTTTAAAGGAATAAAAGCTCCTAATTTATTACTTAAAACCAAAAAAAGATTCTTAATCATATTCTTTTTTGAAAACAATGATTTAAAAAAGAAAAAGTTAATCGAGCTAATGCTTAGAGCAGTTTTATAAAAGTATTGTCTCCAGATTACTAGAAAAGTGCTACCTTTCACATCCTTATGTATGAAGTAAGTAACATTGCTTTTGTGTATGTGTGTGTATGTTTTTTTTTTTTTTTTTTTTTTTTTTTAAACAGCTAAGCCCTGTGGACATCCTGGAGATATTCAGTTTGGTTCATTTGAACTCACCAATGGAAATGAGTTTGTATTTGGTGCCCGTGTTGAGTACAGATGTGATGAGGGGTAATATTTATTTAAATATTCAGTATATGGGTGACAGCATGAGGTGTTAAGGGAAGTTCCAATAATAGATTTGTTGTCTGTAAAACACCTACATTTTGTTATTGTTCAATTTTAAATGTAGCAATTGCAGGAAGAATACAAACAGCTCTTTCTGATGTCTGATGCTATTGGAGTAACTGAATATAGTGCATATAATAAGTCAATTTAAATATTCCTTTACTAAAAAAAAAGGCATCTTTTTGATTGCTTTCTACTTTCTGCTTTTTTTCTTATTTTTACCATATGAAAGTACAAAAAAAACCAAAATAGAGCAGACACAGGTAGAAAAAGGTTTTGTTGTTTTTCTGTGTTTTGGTTTAGCCAATGCTAGAGCATATGAAAACTACTTCATTCACTTCAGTAACAGCAGCACTGCTATTTCTATCACATAATGAGGCTATATTTTAGAACTGTTTGCTTTTTATTTGGTAAGATACCAGATGCTCAGCCTAAAAAACTACCGTGAGTGTCAGGCAGATGGATGGAGCAACGATGTCCCTCACTGTGAAGGTAAATGAGATTTGACGTTTAATTCTTTATCAGTCTGTCTTTTTATCTGTCAAATACTGTCTAGAAGCAATTTGTGATCTCACTACTATGAGTCAGTCACTACAAGTCACCATGACTGCTTGTGATAAAAATAACCACTCGGATTAAGAAGTATGAATTCATATAGACATACAGCTATCTAAATCTAAGTTATGTAGCAGTGAAACTCTTAAAATGCTGGCTCAATTGCCATTTTAATCAAGCAGGCATTCAAGATTTTATCAAAAATTCCTCACAAAATTGAGTCATGTCACCTCCCATACTGCTTTACAGCTCTGTTTCACCTGGGAGGCCTGACAGAGCAGGCCTTTTAAAGAAAAGCAAAGCATTCTTACAAAAGATATCTGGGATGAGACATCTAATATGTATGTGAATGTATGTGTGTTTATAGCACATACTTCCCCTTCATCCTTGTGAATATTTTAGCCACTAGCTTTCATTCAAGGTTCCTCTTTCTATTAGCATACAGTGGAACAATTTCAGTGAAAGAGACCCAGTCCCCAAGGCAGAGTGGCTGGGATATTGCTCTGAATCTGGGAACCTTTTTACCAGTTTCAGACCTGCGTGGTTGTAAGAGGAGACTTCCTTTCTTCCTAGAGGTCATTTTTAACCATTTGTCTATTTTAGCATATATGTGTAGATTTGATTTTTTTTTTTTTTCTGTGCATATGAGTACCTAATGAGTACCTAAGAATCGTTAACAAAAGTAGATATCCTTCTCTAGTCTGGAGGCAGGCATCTGTGCTGCAATGCTCCCTAATTGCTCTTCTCAGATATTCCTCTTTCAGTTTACCGGATTTTGGGTGTCCTCAGTTTCAGGCATACAGGTATCCCTCTGCACAATATAGAACACAGATTGCCAACACTGTTGTTATATGTCACCAAGATGTTGCAATTTCAAAGTCCTCACAAGATTTATCCTTCACAGTGGAAGAGTTTTGTTTAGAACATATCCTTTGTAATGTAATTGTAGGGAGCCTAGATGACAGAATATGAGTTCATAGGAAAGGTAGATGGCACATAAGATGGAGAGTTGTCTTCAGAGAAAAGCGGGAGCTGTGGCAGACAAAACACCAGGCACTTTCAGACACTGTCAGTGATATCAACATGTACATTTAAAAAAGGTCTGTGATCTCAGTTACTTCCTACTTAACAAGAAATATCTGGTGGCATATATTAATTCTTCCTTTTTATGCAGTTTCACTATTATGAGATACAAGAGGTCTAACTCCAGGTCCGACATACATTATGTTCATTTACTTTAATAAATGCAATTGCTCTTCTATCTCTAACTAGGTTTTTTGCTAGTAATTTATTTTTTTTTCTAGTCAATCCCTAAGGTTCAGCAATTTTCCTGACCATTAGTCTATAGAAAATTTAGTTTGGCATAACTTTGAGGTAAATGAACTCTGAGGTAATGAGGTTGCTAGGGTTTTATGGCCATGTGTGTTAGTAAAGTTTTACCTGCCATCCATGGCGCTCATAAGACCACAGGATAAGCCAGGCTGGGAGGGACCTCAGGAGCTCTCCTGGTTCTGTGGACACTCTGCCTTTAACCTGCAAGGGCAGAAAGCAGGATAATGAGATCCAGCCTCCTAGCAACCTCCCATTTCGATTTATCTGTTTAGGATTTTTTATTATTGGGATCCGAATATATAATAAATAAACATATTGTTTTCACAATTGAAATAAATCACTGAATCACAGTGATTTTTTTTCCTATGTTTTAACTTTTGTGTGTGTCAATTCACTTAACAGAACAGACCTAAAAATGCCTGAGGTGGTTTGTTTGCTTTCCAGTGGCAAAGTGTTTACCAGTACAAGCACCAGCAAATGGACGAATAATTGTGACCGGTGTGTTTGAGTTAGACCAAGAATTTTCCTTTGGCCAGGTTGTAAAGTTTGAATGTAATGAAAATTATAAGCTTGTTGGATCTAAAGAAGTACACTGTTCCTCAAATGGAAAATGGAGTAGCGATGTACCTCAGTGCCAAGGTAAAATTCAACTATTACTGTGTTTATCTGTGATTTAAAAAGATTATGCTCGCAGATTTCTGGAGAATGGTTGCTGTACAGGACACTGCAAGGCTTTTACTTTATTCTGCAGAAATTAAGCACAGCTTGTAAACAATCTCCATTGCATACATGGATAAGCAAGAGGATTCAAAGAACGTTAGTTGTAATGGTTCATCTACTTCTTTCCCAATTTCATTTAAAGCTGTATGGCTACCAGACTGCAATCAGTTTAACCATATCAGTTAACCATATCAGTTTTAGGTGTGTCTTGTCTGTATAAAATTCAATCATTACACTGTTGATTTAACCAAAGTAATTATAAACAGTTTTGAATGCATGTGTAACTAATTTAAAAAAACAAGTATGATTCATATTCTTAAAGTATGTAACTTCTAAAGAAATCACAATGAGATTTTCTTTGATCAAACGAGTATGTGTGGATAAGATAAAAGGTTAATTCCTATTCTGTTTTTTCAGAATCACAGAGTAATTGGGGTTGGAAGGGAGTTCTGGAGATGATTCAAAGCCCTGATATCTGTTTTATAAACTAATTTGCTACTGTTACTCTGCAGTTCAATACATTGTTTCCCCCAACACCCACAAACAGGTCATAGAAGACTTCTTGGAAGGGTTCCTAACAGTTCCCAAATGGAAATGTTTTGGTTGACATAACACAATTTTTATGATATCAGATGAAAGCTACATAAATATTTATATATGTTTATAAAATATATATCATATGAACATTTATATATTTTTATATATTATGTATATAAATATATATATATTAAAAATAGGCATTTATTCTCAGTGAATATGAATATGCAAAAAATATGAATTTTGTCTTTGTCAACTTCAGAAACTACCTGTGATAGGCCAGAAATTCAGCATGGATATGTGGAATCTGTAAAGGCATCCTACAAAAAGTCTGAACGACTGCGCTATTCCTGTAATAAAGGATACAGACATGGTGATAGACCAGAAGCAGAATGTACCGAATTCGGATGGACTCCAACCCCCTATTGCACTGGTCAGTCTTTGCTAAAGTCATCTTTCATATTCTATTGTCTTTAGAAGTAGTATTTTCAATACCAGATTGAGTTTATTCATTAAAAAAAAAAAATCTGTACACGTCTGAGTAGTGCCCCATGAAGTGTACTACTCATCATAGCACTGAGCATAAAAGCAATGAAAAAAACTGAATATTAGCTTTCCTTGTAGAGCCATGGCAAAGGTAGGCAATTCACTCTTCAGTTACTTCAGCAGGTGAGTGGCTAGATAGGTCTAGGAAGATACAATTGTTGCTATATTCTGTATAAATGAGATTGATGCTAGAATATATCATCCAGCCATGAGCACCTGTTTGTTTGTTTGTTTTAAGGTTCTGAATTGGTGAAGAAAATAGAGAAAAGCTACTAATGAATTAGAAAACAAAATAGTTTTGACAAATAAGAAAGCTAAAGCCGAACCTCCTTACATTCTATAGAGGACAATAAAAGTGTTTTAGCTAAGGAATGAAAATACTAGACACAGAAAAGAACATAAAAGCATGCAAGAAAAGAAAAAAAAAAACAAAATCAGACAGAAATCAGAATGCAGAAAGAATCAGAAATTTGTAGTGACATGAGTAAATTAACATTTGAATACTAACTTCTTGAGTTGGTATAATTTCAAGTGTGTTCACATCAAGGTTCAATACCTTTATAAATGAAGCCCAAGTCATTGTGTATACCTGAGCGTAACTGGTGAAGATCAATGGCTGTGGTTTATCCAGGTGGAAAATTGGAAAAGTTGGAAAAAAGAAATAGTATTTGATAATGTGAATTGTAAGAGTATAATTAGGATTGGGGTAAGTAAATAGTCCTCGTTCCTTACAAACTTAATGCACCTTCAGGACCTCATATGTATAAAATACCTGAAGACCATATTACTATCTTCTCAGTTAAATGTCACTCACTGTCTCACCCAGTAAGAACATTTGAGAAGTTTGCTTAATCTGCTAAACAGTCTTCTGTGTTTTGCTTCAGTGTCCTGTTGAGTCTTTCAGTAGTGTTGGCAGACAGAGCACCTGCTTGCTGACCAGCTTTTTCTGGAAATTTCTAGACAAGTAGCTCTGAAGTGTTATACACCAAAGAATACAACATGCCTATCATGCTGACCAAAGCAATGTGGTCTGTGTGAAAGCTGTCACTGCCCATGACAGCTTGTCCAGGCTGTCTTACCTAGGCTTTCCCCAGGCCTTCCTAGGGTAAAGAAAGCAGCTTCTTTAATGTCATCAGTGTTATAATTCCAGAGCCACAGCATTCATGGTTTTCACTTTCATTCCATTCAGCCACAGACCTTAAAGACTGTAACTAGAATTACAAATCTCACAAACAGAACTAGGCTCATTGTGTTCTACCTGAAGTAGATTTGATTTCATTTTGGGGGAAGTCATTTATTCCTTGAAACATCTCCAAGAAATTGCCAAAGTATGCTTGAAAGTAGAAAAAAAAATGCTGTCAGGAGGGCAGAGTTATAGGATGTTATGCAGTGCACACCCTCCCAGAAGCTCAGCCAGAAAGACTCCTTCAGTAATAAGTCAGTCTTACCACCCTCTTTGACCTTGAATTTTCTGCTTCAAGATTAGTAAGGGTACTAACTAGTATGCTGTGCCTGTGGGTTTGCAACATATTGCTTCTGCAAAGCGCCAAACCGAGCATTCTTTAGACTGCTGTTGTCCTGGGCTCTGTTACCTGGGACGTTCTCACATACTAGTCCCCTCAAAGAACATCCTTCAGTAGCAGAACAATAAGCTAGAGATTCTCTCCTGCCTTGGTCCTCCAGCTTTCTACCATCATGAAGTGTCTGTGGATCCTGCTTGACTTATCAGTTAAAAATACCTGAGCCAGCAGTGCATGCACACCACTAACTCGCCCACCTTCACTCCACAGGAGGACCGCCCATGTAGGGACTAAGCTGTTGGTCCAACCAGTGTGTTGGTGTGGTTTTCTGAACTGGAAGTAGACAATAAAAGCAAAAGAGCCTCCAGTCCTTAAAATGTTTTTCCAGCTTCTCCAAGCAATAAAGCTTGTCATGAGCTTTCCAAATAACATTCTTCTCCTTTCTCAGCTTTTCAGCTGAAATATTTCTGGTCCCAGTGCATCAGCTTGAACCTCATCAAATAGCCTTTGCATAAAAAGGTTGCCATTAAGTATAGTTGTGTCTGCACTTAGGACCTCCCAATGAACCTAGTCTCCTTTGGTATGTTGTTCGTACACCTGCCCTGGAGAGCAGGGGGTGAGCCCAGCATAAGGCATTTCAGGCTCCAGTTGCGGCATGACCTACTGGAATAGATTAGTCACGTTCCCCTGGATCACCTTTACTGCAACCATTCCCTTTGCAATTAAGTTTTAATCTCCACAGTAAAAGTTATCGTTCTCCTCTCTAACACTGAGGGACGCCATTCTTACAGACAAGTGTATTTCCACAAGTGGAAAAGGAGAGTTGTAACCTTTTCTTTGGCCTAACAAGCCTCTTTTTCGCATTATTCTGCAGTTGCTGTTCGTGTAGTGCACGGATGTCAGTATAGTGTGAACTAATACAACAGAAATAGTTACATATTCTTCAGGCAAACATCTTGTTTTTCTCTTTTTATTTAGAAATTCTATGTCCTCCTCCAAGAATTCCCAATGGGAACTTTAGCCCTCGAGAAGCTGTATACAGAGAAGGAGATGAGATCACCATACTCTGTAATTCTGGATATCATTTAAAAGCGGTCACGGGCCAAAACACAGCTCAATGCACCAAGGCTGGCTGGGTGCCTGTTCCAGAATGTGTTAGTAAGTAATGTTCACGAGTGAAGATAAAACATGCAGAATTCTTCTTCTCAAAATATCATAGTAGAAAATGGCCAAAGGAAAAATTCCTCAGCAGAGGAATTAGGAGATGCTCATTCCTTGTGTTTCTTGGTCTTATACAGCTTAATTGGATGGTTTTGGAAAAAA